CAAGGCAAACTAGAGGAACCTCACTAGCGTTTGTATTTGAAAAGCTTGAAAACTCATAAAAAATAGTTCAGAAAGTCTTTTTTGTTCAGACGCGGCCTTAGAAGCAACTGAGAAATTCTCAAACATCGCGCCCTATATATGCATATATATGGCGTACAGGTTTGAGCCGAGATTTATATACACATAGCGAGAAAGGGAGCGAGAGCCATTTATTCTCCTATATAGATTTATTATTCCTATATGATAATAATTTCTAATAGATATAGACATTAAACGTGAAACGAGTGACACGACAGCGAAAAGGTTCTAGCGAGAACCGCCAGTGGCTATTCTAGCGTACCTGATGCTTCGCAGAATCTCTCTTTTTAACAATTCCATTTCTCTGTTGTTACATTATATATTAATATAATATTACCATATTATAGAATATTAACAACACAAACAAGAACGTTAGTGGAGAGTGTCACGCCATCTAACTACATATTAAAATGCAAATGAAGACATCGAGAGAGCAGTGGTTATCTTCTCTCAAATAAAACGCCAAGCAAGCGCAGAAAATAAGAGATCAGATTCCTAATGCTTTCCTATCTTCTTCTGTGATTACTTGTATATACGGATTATTCCTAGAAAGTTTGATTTAAATAAATCCATAAATAAGACACGTTTTTATGTTTAGCTTTCCTTCACTGCATGTTACATGTGGGCAGAAATAATTAATTTATACTTGCACCATATACAAGCATTTATAATTGAAAATTTAATAATGGATTAATAGTGAAAGAGATAACCTAATATATAGATCAATTATGTGATAGATCTCAGCTAGCGTAACAGCCAAAGGTATTTGCTCTTTTCGTCCTTCAAATTACTTTTAAGACAAACGTTCCTATTAAAGAGCCAAATTTTTATAAGTCAGCAACAAAGATCGATATACGAGAGGGAAGAGTGCGAAGAGAAGAGGTAAGTTTGGCTTAATACACTCCAGACATCTTTTACAAAGTGGACGACCACTAGGTGGCACCATGCTCATTAGGGACTCTATAGTACTGGGTTTAGATCACCGGCTGGTCTTCAAGTTTACGGCAATGTAGTCTTGTCACTCACCGTAAGTTATTTTTTTTACCCATTTTGCTAATTTGCAATAGTGTGCATATTTTGATTGATCTAATTGCTCGAATTTTTTTTTTGTTTAAATCGGGACTTATCCAAGAAACGGCGCTGGGCTGAACTGACTCGGGACTCCGCGTTTGGGACAAGCGCTCTCGTTCGTCTCATGAACTTTATTTTTACGTCCCAATCGCACTACAGTTTTTGAAATACCTTGTTTTGTGCGGCAGTCCAAACGAATCATAAATTCAGCGAGCTAAAAAATCGGTCATAGACATTATATTGTCAAAGACTGGACTTCGTCCGCCGTTGCGAGGCACGACGCGAGTAGCGCTAAGCTGACGCCTGAGGCCTTCTGTCTGATGCCGTAGCGTTGGTAGCATTTTTGTTCGGTTTTTCCTATTTCACTCCTTCTTGTTTGTTGATGTTTTCATAAAGCAACAAACCCAAAAGGCCAATACGCTAGACGTGATATTTTCATAGTCCTCAAGCGACGCACATTAGCAAATTGACATTTTGGTTTTAACAATTGAAATATATGCTGGATAATGTTATGTTTCGACTGAATTCAGGGGCTTTTTAATTGTCGCGAAGCGTTTCTAGTAATTACCTATGTGTATGTATTCAAACCAAGTTCTGTCCATATAACATTGATAATTATATTGTACATCAGTCATCTGTGTCAATAGTCTTGCTGAATTTAAATAACTTTGGGTTTTAAACAAAAAAATATAATTCTAATTTCCTTATAGCAGTAACAAGATTACTAGAGATTAATTTTATTAATATAACTGAATCAAAAATACATTATTTCGTTCTGGGTGAATGCGGTATATCAGTATCTAAAGCTAGTTTTTCTTCTTTTCTAAATGAGTCTTTTAGCGTAAGGCAAGTAGACTTTACGTTACCTGGTAAACATGGCTTGTACAAATCAGGTTTACGAGACCCGTGTGAATTACATGTGCAGTTAAATGAAAACTTACTCAAATCGGTAACATCCACAAAACGGCACCAATATTTTCTAATTTGAACGCCGATACATTCAGTCAGTGTTAATGCTTGACGTTTTCCAGGATGGATCTTATATTTCGCGGATGCCCGTTTTAGGTCCATCTGGATGATTGTACTAGAGAAAATAACTTTTTTAATATAAGTAGCATGCATCTTCCAATGGCGCAGATGGAGATCTGCTGAAACGCACGGCTTGATTGCCGACACGAATTTCTTTATTATCAGATGAATCCATGTCGAAGCGTACACGGGTATCAAACTACTGCGTTTGCGTTTACTGTTGGGCCAGGCGGTTTCATGAACAATTTCATTTTGCCAAAAAAGTATTAGAAAAATTGAAGCAAGTGTTTTTAATATTGTTTACTTAATATATAGTTATAGTATAAGGAAGTAAGACATGCTATTTCGATCGATGGTTTTCTGCCTTTTTTCTCTGATAACCTCGTCTGCTGCAAAACTCTTATGGGATGTGGGCGACAAATTGCGACTAGTGATCTCTGCATCTTTCCACTAAAACTAAATGAACATTGTTAAGAAAGTTCTACAGAGACCAAAACAGGTGATGGCGGTCTGATGGTGCAGGGTCCGGGCTATACGGCGGATGGGAAAAAATTTACCGTTAACGTTATTTCAACTTATGCTAGGTAACTAAAAATGCTTTTGGTATGGTATTGTCATGGTCAAAGACGACGCCTTTTCTCTTCATTTATTCCAGTCAATTTTCTCCATGTAGCAACAACTCATAGCGTACGATGACTTTCCAGACACATACAACATGGCCATTCTTGACATCAGTTTGGGCCAAAAAGTACTCCATAGTCTGACGGACCATGGAACGCTTCTTTTCCTATTCTTCTGTTTCTTATTTGCACATGACCGGTGTATGTGATTTATCTTTAATCGCATGTTATAATCAACCATTTAATATTCAGTTTCCTGTAGAGTCTCGCAGGTAAAAGCACGATTTAGTAAATCTTTTTCGCGTCAATGTATACGGCACCTAAACATTGAGCTTCTTTTTATAGCGTGCTTTCTTCAAGCTATTTTAAGCTGTTCGCTACTGTATAAGTTCTTTTACTCATATGTCGACCTTGCTCAACCTTCTGACAATTCCAATCAATGATCCAATTAATCTACTATGAGAAGTATCTTTTCTTTAGGTAAAATTTCTAGAACAAAAGCCACAGATATCTATCAAACTGCCCGTTTTTTGGGCAGGTTTTTCTTCAGATAACACATATTGGCCATACACAGGTCAATTTTTTTTATAGGTAGAGGCAGCATCTTCTTTTTTCATAGTAATTGTAAAATAATTTTAGCGATTCCTTACAGAAATTTTATTCATTTTCAAGGCCCTCTACCATAGACCTAATTTAAGCACGTGTCCAGCAATTCTAGGCACATCTCTTACTGGTAAATCTCTTCCGAAAGCTTTCAAATAACACTAATGCCGACTAGACGTGGCTCATATAACTTAAGATACGTAAGCTCAAAGCCGTCTAAATAAAAAGGCGGTCAATAATTTTCCGACAACCTAATATTATCTTGCTATACTTCTATACAATCGGTGAGCTCTCCATCCTAAAAGTTCTGATTATGAAAAACTTTCAATCACTGCTAAAACTAATGAAACTTCTAAACTAATGAAACTAATGAAGACTTCTCTCAAAAATTTATTGTGGACCAAGTGATTGTAGGTGAACATATTGCCTTCATGACATGAAAGCAGTTTCTGTCGGTGAATTATGCCACTAATAAGAATAAAAAATCTTTTTAAACCATCTTTAATCCCTCGTAGCCAACAAATGCCCCTAGTCACCCGTCAAGAACTTCATAGTTAGCGAAGATCTACTAGGCAACACTCCCAAAGTACATATTTATGGCTAAGAGTCCAGTTTTATAGGGCATACAAAGGATCCATAACCGCAAGGAGAAATGAATAAGCCCAGTTTCAGCGCAAGGATCAGTCATCGAAGAAGTCGTAAGGAAATTAGCTAAGCTAGCTTACGTGATAGGTTATGCAAATCTCTATATTCTAAATCTTGAAGGTCGTGGTGAAGCTAAAGCGACTCGGGACACCTCAAGGAGGTAATCTATATTTTGTGGAGGTCGTAATGGCCTTTGTGGCAACTCCCTTACGACTTGTAGGACGGACGAACCGCTCAAACACAACACGATTTCTCAAAAGACGCTTGAAAAAATGTTTGAAATAGACATAGCCGATCAATATTTTTCTAGATCTGTTTATTTTAGCTTCTATTTATTAATGCCGTAACAAAATGTAAACTAAATTTTGCACTCCCAACTAAAATATCATCTAGAGTGGCGCACTTTTAGAGTTTCCCGAAAGTAGCTAATGCGACCAATCGCCCATGAGAAGGAATAAAGCAGGTCGCCTGCACGAACATATTTTTTTAAAAAATTTTACGTCTTAGCTGCTACCTGACCAGTAAAGTACGTGTTTATTCGTAATGTAACGTTTAGTAGGGTAATATTTTAATAGCTATACTACTAAACATATTACTAGAAGCGTTTATTGGAAATGCATAATTTCCTTTTAAAGCGCCATATTTTACTCTAGTTGGCCATAATTATTTTTATTTTGTATTTTCTCGGCACTCTTAGAGTATGTATATTCTATATTGGGTCTCGTTTTTTTTTCAATCAACTCTCAGAACAATAGCAAAAAGCTACTGAGCCTAATCAGAACGCACATGGCGTTTTACCCTAAAGCCTAGGATGTGGATTAATGGAACTAATATAAAGCCATGGATAAAATGAAGAATTAATCGGTGTATTACTGATCATACGTAACGTGGTGCTACTTCAAATAATAGACATGTACCTCATTTGTACACGGAGTATTTTATTCTCATGTTTATACCTGCAGATGTATATATATCTGTATTTATTTCGTATCAACAGAGCTTATTTGTCATTGCGAATGATCGCAATGACGAATAAGCTGGCAAAATTTCTTTGCCACTGGCCTAACAAAAAAACCACTCGTCACCCTTTAGCAAGGAAAGATAGTTTAATGTTTGACACGGCTCTAAGAAATGGTCTGACTCGAAATGCCGGATCGTAAACCGTCAGACGCTGAGACGAGTCTCTACCATTACTGCCAGTGTTGGCTGTCTTGTTACTATCGGATCGGGCAGACGATTGAATCGCTACCATGATAAGATTGATTACTGCGCACGCTTTGCGGCTCTGAGGCTATCGTCTCACAAAGTTTGCCTCGTTCTGTGCTTTACTACTAATCAAGTATATCTTCCGCGCTCTGTATAACGAGGCTCACATAAGTAACGCAGGCACCAAACGTCTGTAGGATCGCGCTTCGATCTAACTTGTAGAAACGCCAGGCCGTCATTTCCACGCGCTGCGACATCTGGCTTAGGATAAATCGGACCTGAAAGGACGTTACGATTAACAATAAGATATAGCGACTGCATTTATTTTGTCACATTAGCAAAGCTCACCACTATTAACATAATAATACACGCTACAAATCTCACAGATTAATCAACTCAGGCCAATTTTTCGCTGGATAGCGAACTTTTACTTTATACAAAAGGCCAATTTTATTAAACACTTTCTGAAGTCCAGACCGATTTAATCAAGTAATCTGCTATTCCTAAACCTAAGAACAGCACATGGTCCCTCCTCGAATTTCTTGGAAAAGATAGGGAAGGCCAGGTTTAAACGATGAGATTTTGCCTTCTAATTCCATTAATTAGTAGGCTGCATAACTAGGTATTGTCTAGTCTAGTTTGAATTACTCAATCGTTTGTTATAATTTCAAATCAATAGGATTTGTCGAAATTAGTCGCCGACAGTAATTGAGCCTATCTGCCCTATGATTTTCGTAATCTCGATTATTCCCATTCAGCGGGAACACGATTGCATCTACTAGATACAATACAGGTACATATACTCAATCGGACCTGACCTATCGTCTTATTATGTTTGCCACAGAACCCTATCAGAGCTGCAAGAATCACTTCGAAAATTCCGTAAATTTAAAAATCGTTAATATTTCTACAATGCTCGACGATATTTTTGTTCCGTTTTTGTAATTTTCAATTAATTGCTGTTTGGGCAATCAATGATGGGTGATACGAGAGAAAAACATGTGGTTAGCATTTCAATAAGCATTGTTGTAACACTATGGCGCTATATAATGCGCCACGAAGTTTGGTGTTCTGAAACCGAGTGCAGTAATAGCAACATTTGAAGACTTGCGTAACACTTCTCACAGCAAATACGCTTTTGCGATAGATAGCAAAAAAATTACTACCTAATTAAAAAGATTTGAATCTAGTATTGTGAACCTCAAGATAGTTCTCAGTGTAAACGCGGGTCAGGTTGTTTTGCATAAACGCAGTAAAAATGTCGACAAAAATCCTATTCCACAATGATGCTCTGTCGCTTTGAAGTATCTAGGGTTTTATACAGCTCATACACTGTGTATAGTACTTGTCGAGAAGTATCGAATCGTATAGGTAACCGGAGCATCATACTGGATTTGGTAGCCAACGTCAGGTTAGGTTTAATTGATTAATTAGGCATATATACACACACTGCAATGGATGTTCACATCTTTCCATTAAATCTAAAACACTTGTATTTAAATGACACACACACAAAGCGCAAGCAGTCTCTTGTTTTTTCTGTTCTACTGTTTACGCGTTGTAGCGTAGACTCTTTGCATGACGACGCATCGGTACACAAACCTCATGCACGAGAGCCCTGCTCGTATATCCTTGGTCAGCGATATGAATGGCATTGACAACATGGCGACTACTACTATGCGCTTCACAGAGGAGTGCTGCGGAACCGGTTATCAAAAAGAGGGAGAAACACACGTAACACGTATTAACCATACTTCCAAGGAAACGAAATAGTTCAAATCGACGCTTAGTCATCTGAAAAACCATTAGCGGACCAAAGAAACATAGTCATATATTAGAGCTTATTATATTACTATACTAGCCAATGTCAAAGATTTCTTTTTTTCAAATACTGAAAGTTCTTTTTTGGTCATAGAAATGTTAAGGTATAATATTGAGTTGTGTGTGTGTGCATGTGTGTCTGTGCGTGTGTGTGTGTGTGCTCGTGGGTGTGCGTGTGTGTGTGGGTGTGCTCGTGTGTGTGTGTGTGTGTGTAAATGTGTGTCTGTGTGTGTGCTCACTGTGTGTGTGTGTGTGTGTATCTGAGTGTCTCTGTGTCTGAGTGTCTGTGTGTGTGTGGGTGTGGCTGATTGATTCAAACATCTGAGACGCGATGCCGTCGTTGCCACGCTACCGTAACGGCAAACAATGAAAAATTCGATTAGGATTATTTGAATACTATATTTAGCAAAGTTCCTCATGTCTAATTGGGTCGTTTTGTTCGTCGTGTATAAATGCGCTTTGTTTTACGTTACGTACAGAAGGTGGTCGTTTCTTTTTACTCTGTCGCCTGCTGCTGGTCAAGTGCCGTATTTTCCTTGTGCCTTTTCTAGTTATCGTTTTGTCCAGATTGTCGAGTTTCATCTCGAGAGCGACACTTTATAAAAGCGAAAATCAGGTTCAAGGTTAAAAACCGAAATAAGTCTGTGTGATAACAAATCGAGACGGTTAAAAGAGTCGAAAAAATTGGCCACGAGTTAACTAAAAAGTAGGTACGAGCGATATTCATTGGGAATGGCCAAAACGCTTTAGTGATCAGAAAAAGACTAAAATCGATTTCTTTTTTGCTAATTTGGTTATAATTAGTTCTTTATTTTTTTTTTTTTTTGGTTTTGCATTGTGATTAGATTCAATTTATCATCTTGCGTCGCCATGTTTTTTTTTAATTTCAAAATATGGTTTTAGTTGATAGAGTATTGCAAATGGCCTACTTGGAAGAGGTACATCTATTCAAAATAGACCTCAAACTTGAGATAGAGTCTTGTTAAAAGCAGAAACAGCGACATACAGATGATATGACAAATAAGAGCCAAATAAACTTACATGTTTACTTAGTATATAACATCTTACAGAGTAGGAAAGTTTTATCAGGCCCATTCAATACATATATATATATATATTTCGTTTGTCGTTGTTATTAAGCAATGGCTAACTTCATCTCATTCATAGAGAGAGTTTACGAAAGAAGCAGTTTGAGGAAACGGTTGACGCTAGCCGACTGTTCACCGTTTATAAAAAGCGATAAAAGTTGTCTAAATTGTAAGTTTTCAAACTTTGCTTAAAAAAGCAGATCTCCGAGAATAAAACCACTGAGTTTTCTAAGTGAAACAAGAAAAGTCGTGAGACTGTTCTAGCCCTCCGTTGACTGCGAACAATGGCTATAAGGATGAACGTCGTCTATATAACAAGGTTGCGTCAGAAATTTCTCTTCTACAGGACAAATCCATAGAAAATAATCGTATCAACTACTACTACTGATATATCTAGATGGGAGACACGGTTATTTAAGACGCTCGGTTTTACCTGAATCATGGTTGTGGCTTCCATGCATGCACTAACGACGATCGATGTGTGCCAGACAAACGCCTGGAAAAAAATATGGGGAGAAAGTAGCAGTTTTAGACTCGTGGTAGCCCGGTAGTCGATTGCAGCGGAAATGCGGGACACTTACAATGCGTAACTTGCTTTCGCTTTATTAAGTAACACGCTTCTATTTGCAGAAAAAAAAGGTTCCCATTACGTCAGTTGTACGCTGCGCTGTATCCGCCATGACTGATACGAGTCATAGCATTTGTTAATACTAGAAAACATCACAGCTACGAAGTTGTCTGCTGAAAACTCGATTCATTCTCACATTTCTTTTGTATCAGATTAAACTGCCCGGGCAGACGGCTTATACTGATCGTGCAAAAACAATTTTTCGCCCCATAAATCATTGAGGACGACCTTAAGTGTTTATTTTGCCCTTACCATAAACACGGAGCGAGGTTATTGCGCTGACCCTTGCTTGCAATTTTATATTTTTGATATTGATCTGCTACTAGAAGACGCGGATGAAAACCAGCTGAGGTCGCATCTATTGCAGCGTCGTATTGTGATGATTTTCACTATCCCTTATTAATTTTACATTAAGTACTACTAGCAATGCCTAACTGGCCCACCGAATGTAAAGCTTAAAACAATTAGTTACTAGCCAATGAGCAGAATATGCCATCGAGACGTTGAACGACTTCACAGAGCTTTGCGTGTCGCGTTCTGAGCTCGCCTACCCGAAGCGCCAGCGGAAAAGCTTTATCCAATCTTGAGCGTTCGACGCACTCCGCCATATCGGTATCCCACTTTTCGAACTTCACATTCATTAACTAGAAAGGTATAGGTTAAAACGGTCGGTCATGTGATGTCGGTTTATGATTCACGTTGGTAAACACCTAAATCAAGCACTGTTGGCAACCGTTTCAACGTATAAAAAATTGCTTTGAAAAAACCATATAGGAGTTTGCTTTCAACGGGAACAGGTGTTGTTCAATAAGGTCATTAAATCCTGTTAATGAACCTAGAAAAAAAATGCTGTCCTTAGCGTCCCACTTACCAGGTTCACGAATACGTAGACGACAATTACGAAGGACATTCCACCGCTAACAAGAATCCGATTGATAATTATGTCGCATTGAGCCACAAAAGAAATTACGGGGTAAAGTACCTTTGGTATTTGAGAAAACGCTATCATTAGTTCGCTCTCAACGTACAGCTGGAGACGACGCTCCACGTGGAAGTCGAGCGTATCAAGGAGAATGCGATAAATTACGTAAATCCAAACGCCAAACAGACTATATTTACATATTCTTCGTAGGCGTTGCATTCGATCAGCTGAAAAAAAGATCACTTTTAAATTATACTGTACATAAACTATTGGTGCTTTCCTGAATGGCTTTACAGTTCGATATACATCGGCCATTCTCATAGTTAAGATATACTAGATTTGCTGGTAGATTCCTAGATGTTCTATTGGTTGATGGGCAGTTTTCATAGCTAGAAGTGAGCGTTGATTGTGGAGTGCCCTTTGGACAGCAGGATCAAAACAAGGCACAGCGTCACAAACATATGATATGAAGATACATTTTTAGCTGGATTATAGGTAAGATTAAAATAGCTGAACTTTTTATTCTTTTGCGACATATTCCTTGTATACGATTTGCGCCAATAACAGAAATTATGTATATATATATTGAGCTGTCGAAAAGTACTGACGTTTGTTGAACGAGGATTGAAGCAAACATTTTTTATAATACAAAACCATATTGCTAAAGAAAGTATTTCAAATAATGGTCCTTGCATTCCTCCATTGAAACTAAATGAACATCATTAAGGGAGTTCTGCAAAAATCGTGTTTTAGATAGATAAACATGTTCACTAGATCCGGTCAGTTTTCTCAATGACTTGTTGTTATTATGTTAATTGCCCGAATCAATTTCTTTTTAGTCCCATTAAACATGTAGCATCACTCTTTTTTTTTTTTTAGCATAAACCTGAACTTTGCTACAGATTGAGGAGCACATATTTGCTCTATGTATTTGATTTGTATACGATTACCGCGCGTGATTTCGATTTCGTTACGTTTCTGTAGAGTAGGTGGAAATACGACAGAGTAAATCTTTTTTTGGGTGAATTTGTGTGGCACTCAAACAATGAGCTCATTTTAGTAGCGAGCTCTTTTTCAAATGGCTTAAAGCTTTTTACCGGCAGAGGCTTAACTTCTTGGCGATGTCATGGATACACGTGTCGAAATAGTTGACCACATCTTTGACATCGATCCCTCTAGAACGAGAGCAGCAGAGCCATTTTCGAGTCATTTCTCTCGATAACGCATCACGACCGTAAACAACAGTTTTTCTAGGGGTCGCAGCGCCCTCTATCGTACTAAAATCATAGAATATAATGGGTTTTACGAAATTTTCACGCATTTTTAAAGCGCTCTATTTTAAGTTTGAATGAAGATTAGCACGTCCATTAATGTCAAATCCCAGCTTTCATATGGGGCATACGCTTACCTAACCCGATTCACATTACCTGAGGTATGTGACTTCAATGAGATCTGGCTAGAGATACTTTTTCGATGACCCACTATACACCACAGGCACCTCAATAAATTCGACATCCATCCGTTATGGAATAATTGATTCAAGTAGGATAGAACCATGCATGCAACCCGTGCCCACAACAAATTTTTAAGTATCCTTTACATTAACAGCCAAGGTTCAACTATAAACGGTTCCTAATATAACTTACTCCACTTAAGACCTCGACATATACTGTCTATAGTACCTTTGCATTCCGAACGCAAAGGTGCCCATAAATAGGCCGTGCAAGAAAATCATCGACATTCGGTTGTAGTCAGCCTTCCCGACGCCGATCCGATGCGGCTCGTATTATTTAAGATATGTGACTTTAAGGACACCTAGCTAAGATAACGAACGATATTTTTTTCGAAAGCTTAATATATATATATACATATATATAAAGTACGGGACCTAAATAGGATAGTTTTTTGCGGGCTGTTTGTTGTAATAAGCACCCGCCATTTTTGAAACTAGAAAAAAGTCCGTCCTTTTTAAAGCAAAACAAAACACGAAAATCATCATGGGAGAAGGCAACGTGTCAAAGCTGCTACTGCTAATCAAACTTTCCCCAATGCCACACTTTGATTTGCAACGGATTTTTTTGTTACAGTTAACAATATATATATATATATATATATATATATATATATATATATATATATATATATATATAGCAAGCACAAACAATGCTTATTCCTGTTTCGAAAAATTCGAGATTGAATTGTGTTAAGAATTACTTTGATTATTTTAGCCAGCCTAGTCGACACAGTTGATTTTAATAAGTGATCCGCCGCAGGCGTAAAATGTGGCATTGGAGTCTTTTCAGCATTCTCCCTAAAAGGCCTGTCGAAAAATTGAGCCGAGAGTATTTTGTTTCGTCAACATTTCGACCCCAACTTTTAAACCTAACGATCCCACTTTAATGTGTTTTCTTTGCAAGGGCTGTATTTGTCATCTACAAGATTCTCCCAAGCGTACACTAATACCGCTTATCACTATGTCATCACATCTATTTCTCATAGAAAAATGCGATTCCCTATCAGTTGGCCTAGATGATTAGTCAGTTAGGCCTTCGTTGAAATATGTCTAACTCTGTGCCTTATTTTAACTGTCACTTTGGTCCTGTATCAATCCTATTCGGTAAGGAAAATAGTGTGACGTTAAGAAAAATTGTCGTACGGTTTGCGAAGCTTGCTTTACTAGAAAGGATAAACGTACGTACCATTATGCGGAGCCTGATCCATAGTGCGGAGAACTTCATGTATAATCATGAGATGGCCATTGATTTTATTAATCCCGAAAATGTAAGTACATGAGCGAGCAACATTTGTGCCGGCTATGCCAACAGTATGCCGAGCAAATATATACTTTAAAACGAACATGATCGCGTAGCGCGCTACAAACAGGTTTGACATAAACACCATGAAACGAGTCCACCTCTTAAGACGATTGGATTCACTGAGAAAAAATATTGCGTAAACGAAAATTGGTATGAGAAGTAGATAAAAAAAAACATCGTTTCATATATATATATATATCTATGTAAGACTTTTTTTTCTAAAATGCAAGCGAAGGAGAGTTAGATTGAATTAGCCGCTAACCAATTGGTGATTAGTCGTTGGCGTGTCCATTCACGTCTAGACATGCCAGACATAACTCTCTCGTTAAATTTGGTTAGACTAAATAGAGAAAGGATGGATAGAAAAGCTCGAGTAATGTGAAATATGTTTGTCAATTTGAGCACTAATTGATACACCGTACTTTTAGCGTTTTTGTTAGCAAAAACAGAGCAAAACGCTTCGAAACCCTTCCTGTAACACTTTCGCATGGCCTTTAGCAGTACATCAGCACACAGAATCACTAGGATATGGTTTTCATTGATCAACGTTGAAATAAGGCGACACTTTGTGTACAGCTGTTTATTTTCGCCAAAAAACACGCGAATAGTTGTTTTGGATCCCATTGTTACAGAAGCGTTTAAGTAGAGCTTTGCATGATAGGGCAGCAGGCGTATTGCAGTCGGAACCAAAATACTTTAAGATTAGTTGACTAGGAGAAATGGCACATACCCTCTATAAACGTCAAAAAGTATTTATTTTTGGGTCATATCAGGAGGCCCATATGACTAAACAATGGTTTACTTAGGTGTCTTGCATTTTATAAAATACGAAGGAACGAATAGGCCGTATCACCTGTACAATAAGGATCAGCAATACTTAGAAGTTATCGGCACAGGTTGAAATTTAGTGTATATATGGGGCAGACAGACTTCCGTAAAGGGAAACTATTTGAAGGTCAAATAGGTCATAATAGCAGCATCCTACCTGCAGTTATCTCGAGTACCCGCCCAAACAGGAGTCATCTTCCTCAACTGTACAGGGCATTCTGCTCTACAGTTGAAGGCCAAGAAATGTCGACTATTTCGAGCAAATGTCTCCGGGAAACCTAGCTGTGCGTCAATGCATGTATCATTTACAAACAAAAACCAACTCACGGTGGATCTAATTACGGTTGAGTGTCTCACATTTGATGTATTCTACGAGTCGTGATACGATGAATCATAAGCTTCAGTTTTTGCAGGGCTTAGAAGAAATAAAGAAGCTTGCCTAAGTCGATAATTAAACAATTGCTTTTACACAAAGTTGCTAAAATCGTGTATATAATCTCATGTTTGTTGTCGATTTTTTAGCCCAAGACTAGGCGGTGGTCGAATCGAACAGTCTATTACTTGCGAATACAATACAAAGTAATTTAGCTTAACCATCTAACTTTCATACTTACTACGAAAATTGCTTTATAGTTCAGAAATTGGAGGGCGAAATCGAACTTCGAAATTTGAGAAACTGCTGGTACTCCGGTATGCCCGATCGTATGAACTGTTTCGGACGCCATTCGATGAAGATCAGTGTATCTTCTCACAAATAACCTAGCCCCTCGTTTGTGGAAGGTTTGCAATACTTATTGTACCTCGTGTATATCTACTACTATAGAAATATACTTGGGTATGGATATGGAAACCTCTAAACATATTAGCTAGCGTTTCTATTAAAACATGCTTTTCTTCAGAACTAATTGACTAAGGTATATTATTTTTTTCGTAAGAACGGGAAGCTCCTGGCCCATAAAATTGATTAATCATTTGCGTCTTAACAAGTAGCTGCAAAACGTATAGGAAACATTACCTGTTCTCGGCGTTCCCAAGATATCCTCGGAAAAAGCCGGCGCCTATAAATTCCGCACTGCGAAATGCCGGCCACAAAACATCTACTGCCTCATCGCTCGTACCGGGCCGCTCAAATAGTACGAAATGTTTTAAAAACATCATCGTGAGCGATAAGGCCGAACACAGAGGCTGCGACTAAGACGTGTTAGTTATATTTTTAACGTTAATTCGACAATTTCTATGCGATTTATTGAACAAACGTTTTGTAAGCGCTACAACAGAATAGCTTATTTGCCTGCTTTTCTGAAGAAGGCCTAACTTATCTTGAAAGTATCTGGCTGCTTTTGCTAGAACACTGTAATCTCCTATCGCATCGAATCGACCCTATACCGATGAATATAAACCGCCTGAGTTTTGACCGTTCACGCTCGATCTGCCAACACTGCAGATGATCCATTAATCAATCCTAATTCTCTTAGATAAATGAACTACCGAAACGAATCGATGAACCTAAAACTAAAACGATGAAACTTTCGATTCAAAATGGTCTCTACAATATGTTTGTACGCAGAGATTAAAAAGACGATCGATTTGCTTACTCTGCAGATAGTACATCAGGTTTGAAGATAGCCTCAATTAATCTTCCCCTGTAGTATCTTCGCGTTAGGCAAATACCTGCTAACACGCTGAGCGTCCCAATATTTCTCTAATATTGGTCAGAATAGACGGTCAACAAATATAATTGAAGCACAAATAGACATCGACGACTCTAACGATTCTTCTAAGAGCTTGTGTTGGAATTCACTACTCGCTCTGTTGAAACATCTACGTGAGGCTTGTGCCAGATAGAACTTCGGAATGGACATAGCCAGTGGCTACTACATATTCATACTACATAGTCTTATATTTTAGCAGTATTAAAATGGACTAGCACTTCCGACACGTTGCGTATATCTACGAAACACTTGAACTTCACGGCATTCGCATATTTTCGATCGATTATCTCTGGATAAAAAACATCTTCTTTTAGAATCGCAAAAACCCATCATTCCTTAGCACCTTACTTTATAATGAGCATGGATGTATACTAGAATATAAATTAGCTCATCGAAAATTGTGTTTCCTGTAACTACCGTAGGTTTACCGCCGTGGTAGAATAACGACTATTAAATATTTATAGAGGTAGTCAGGCTTCATAGTAGGTTAGTCGAAAAAAAGTGCTCCTTAAGATGCTGGATTGATACAACTTACCCTAATAGTTGATTTAGAGTATTGTTATGGTACACATAATAACAAAGGCGCGCTCGTAATTCCACTGCTTTAGATAGAATCAATATGATGTCACTGAAAGCTTCTTAATTGGTAGTTTGCTAGTCGCAAACACCTTAAATCTCCGCCTGTGTCTGGTGAAGATACGGCAAATTATTTTACTAAAAGTTTTTTTTTTTTTATTTAAATGAAAAATAGCGCTTTAAGTATTTCTAAACTAGGCGTGTAAGGAAATTTGTAAACTAGGATATGTTTATAAATTTCTACTTTTCTTGGCCTCCGACGCGTGGTTCTGTATTATAGGGTCGGCTCGGTGATATGATTGAGGTCGATAGCTAATGTTTGGTTATTATTCAATCATTTAGCTATAAGACAGTTATTCAACAAGACCTCAAACCTTCGCCGGCGCTTTGCCTCAAGCGCTTCCCACACTAAAGACTACCTATAAAAAAGAAACCCATTCAACGCTGCAGCAGCTAAATGATTAATGTTTATTAAGCGCAACTGCGAGCCTGCAGAACACTAAATAAAATTAATCAACTTTGTGTGAGTCCACGCTTGTTTGCCAGTTTTTGAAGTTCGATCATGTTGTAATAGCGGTAAGTTCTTCTTGGTATTGTCATACGAGTTTTTTCATTATAGTGGGCTAATCGAGTACGCAAAACGAGCAAATAGCCACCAGGCCGTACACGAGTTCAGTCACTCGACACAACAGAAGATCAAAGACAGGCTCAATGTAAAACATCCGACAGCCTCCAGGCGACGCAACAAGTAAGATCGAAAAAATTATTAAGAAAACTTTGTCTAGCATCGATTGTTGTTACTGGATAGACTCTGATGTTTCTATTGTTATTATGCGGTACTGCATTGATTGTTCCATTAAGTATATCCATATGACTTTATTTCCTTGACAAAGCTGGAAACACTAAGGGATACCGCCAAAAATAAGAGCAGCGGATTGCAGCTGGATGCATTAATGAATTTGGAAGTATCGATAACACGCAGTAGCGAGGACTAGGTCAAAGGCAACGGACCGAGAAGGGAAATTATAGCGTGGTCCTTCTTTTAAAATCTTTTACAGTATATATGTCCATGCAATTAGGACCAAAAAAAAAGATAAAGCTATACATATAACTATAAACAGTATTATGACCGTAGGAGAAAAGCTGTTGATAAGTCCAATGATGTCCTGATGATGTGAAGGACTACTCAAGGAGCAGTAAACGCACCATTTTCGAACAAAAATTAAGCCTATAAGCAGTTAGACACAGTCAATAAATATTAAAGCTATATAATTGCTCACTGCCATCATGACAAGCGATAACGCTATATAATATGCGATAACGCTAATCTACCAATCGGGCAAAAGTTCACTAGACAAATTACATTCGCTGATAAGTAGATTTAAAAAGTGATCATTCCGTCACCATATCGACGATACCTCTGACCGTAAACTGTACTGTAACATTATCAAAGCATTATTAACTAAAATAGAAATTTCAAGACCGTGTTAACCGAATAGATGTGTTCATTACGAATAGGGCTACCTACAAAACTCAGAAAAAAAGATCCAGTAAATATGTATAGTTATAAATGCAGCAGTCAAATAAAGTAAACAGTGTATATACTATAGTTGGTCATCATTTTTGAACCAGAGAAAAAAATCGATAAACGTTTAAATTTCTTTGAATACGTAAAAAACCTAAAGAACCTGACATGGAAATGTCAATGAAGGTCATTTAAAGCAATCAATATTCCAGCAGTTATATTATACTAGTGTTTTGAAAAAGACCGACATTAATACTTTGGGCAGCATCCATATCTTGTCTACGCGTAGACACACAGAAGCTTTCTAATTTCATGTGACGCCGTCCTTAGAAGCATTACACGCCAACAAATTCGGTAGACGGTTAAGTGTGGCTCTTGTATCGGAACATGTGAGTTGTCCATAGACTACATGAGAGAATAGCGCTCGGTGCCCTGCTATATTGTATCTTTTGTAGAGTTGATATTTATTTGTAGGCAGGAGAGTCATTATAAGATGAGGTATAAAGAATGTTTTTATAAACAAAAATATTTCCTTTTCGTAGACCTGCGATTAGAATCTGAATCAGCAATATGAATGCACATAGCAAAGATTAGAAGGCGTGTCAGCCAGGGGAGATTTCACTATACACATACTCCAAATGTCAATCCGTATGGGCGTCTGGCTCGTTCAATTGCGTAACGCATACAGCTGATTTAAAACACTTGTTGAAACACGTTATGAAAATAAGCTGACGTAAAACTTTACTACAGAGCATAAATGTGTCAAATCCATTTATGTGAATGCATTACATCGTTTCCTCATTGGTTCGAAGACGAAACGAAATAAATCAAGTTTCTACTGGCCTAATTCTGAAGGACAAAAGAAGTTACTCAGTGGAGTATTCTCCAATCCACTCCTAGTTTGTTCCAAGCTAGAACTAGTTGTTTAAAGCTTGATGTTGCGAATTCTAGCGTCCGGCACTACTCCAAGCGTTGTTTCGATATGCGAGTTTAGACCACCATTTAGTCCAAAGGTTCACTGCTCCATCTTGTGGGTACAGCCAATTTATCTATTAGCTGATTAAAACTGACAACAGCAAATCATATCCTACATCGCTCTATACAGATGTCATTATGGTGACTTAATTCGTTAGATTACTATGAGTGTAAATTACAAATTTCTTTCTGCAACCTGCAAATTTCGACGAGCTAAGTTATTCGACTCGGACGATTCTGGTAAAGCGTATATGTAAGTTGCCCCAAATGATAGGCAATTCTTAAACTATTTTCGAGACGCTACTAGTAACATACGTCTATATGATTCTATCGTCGTGTTTCAGAAATACCTATATTAAACAAACAAGCTAAAATCTATATTCTTCAAGCTCACCATTAAAACCTCGTAACCGAGGTAGAATGGCATCAGTAGATCTTCGTACGTCACACATTGTAAAAACTATTTTTTTTTCAGTTGGCCCGCGACTGTCCTCGAACGACTACAACTTACAGTTTGATAATGCGAAAGTCGATTTGTAAATTGTATTGCGTGATATTACAGCATATATGATGGATTATTGTCTTCATTCTTCTTCAGGTTCATTTCTTCTTCGTTACACGAAATGGATCATTCGAACCGGTGTCATATCCTCTAGATATGACGGAAGAACCATGATTTTTTGTTTACTGCAGCTTTCCTATGAACTCCATTCTATACTCACCTCATGTATCATTATTATGTCTCCTTTTTTACTTCTAAATAATTTACTAGATGCCGCCACTATCATATTAAGTAGAATAAATTTGCCAACAGGTTATTGTGTTCCTTCAAGGGACAGTGAAAACCTATTAAGTCGTTCAGAACGGCCTTTAAGCATGACGTTGAATCACATTAATTCTCTGATATAACAAAGGTAATATTATTCGACGTTAGCCAAAAACGACCCACGGTATTTGCACGAGTTCGTTTTGACCTACCTGTTTTCGTTTTCTTTCAGAGATGGACTGACCGGGAACAAACGCGCGAAGTTAGCGCCAAATCTTTTCGAAATTCTGCCAGTGAGGCAACGTTGCTGAAAAGAACCGCCTTTACCGTTTGAATAATTACTCAAATCCGAACGTGTCCAGCACAAACAGAAGAGCTAAACAAAGCCTAAATTTCAGATAAGACAAATTATAATCATTTTGAAGCAGCAATGGAATATTGTTCGGTTATTAGACTCTCTGCGCGGGTAAACTTCAGAGTAGAAGTGTTCGGAATCGATGATTGCCGAACCTATCAGTAAATAAGTTCAGCACAACCTTTCAAATCTAATATTCGTATTCAAATAGAAAATCGCGCTGACTTACCCATTCGACAGTGGCACCAGCTTTGGGTGTTATACTGCTATGCCCGTACCACCACAATGACGTCTGTGACGCAAACTTCGTAAGTATGGCAAACAAAGGTTAAAAAAGAAAATGTTTGGAACAAACAGTCATTATAGTAGCATTTTAAATTGGCACATTGTCGTTCTAAAGTAACAAAATAAACATGCCTATTTTTTATTTGATTTCTAACAAACTTTTCCGTCAATCTAGAGCACCTATGCCGATGCTTAACTATATTTTGCGGTGTTTAAAAGATCTTCAAAGTGATGAAATTACTTTTTACACTAAAGTATTAAGTTGAAAAACTTGCGTTAAATTCGAAAAGATTATTTCATGTGAATAAACTTTATATGTATAAAAACGCAGTATGTGAAGCTATGCGGACGGATCGATTCCAATCAGCGGAACCATATTACAGATGGTGGCATCATTTTTTGGCAATAGACAAAAAATCATGGTTTCATTTACATCGAGACATAATCGTGCGCGTGCGTGTGTTTTGCGAATATACTCACCAACAACATAACAACCGATATAGACAATCGTTGGAACTGATATTTTCGTATTTCCACATTGTTTAGGGAGTATACAGTACTCGCTATGTTCTGCGGACTAAGGTTTTTCACCTGTGGCCTGCGTGATTGAAATATTTGGAGGCAAATTAGAAAATTATATCTTTTGGCTCCTACAAAGTTACATAACAATCCTACAACTCTTCCCTTATATTCGGGTATACGCAAAACGGAATCCAGATTTATATTTTCAGCTTTACAAAACAAAACTAGTTGCTAACCATGTTGCGTGTGCCACCTTCAAGCTGATTCCAACATTAGCGGTGTTTGCGACTCGCAAATCAATTTAATATATATATATATAATGTTAGTTGTGATTACAGGTTAGGGGTGCTTTCGTGCTCGGTACTCATAGTTGACAGTTATCAGACCGACCCAGTCCCTGGGCTCGACGAAACCTTCGCTTCGGCAACAAAAACGCAGCTCCACAAGGTAGAGCGTTGAATATGAATACTAAAGAATACCGAAAGATGCGAAAGCCATAGAACTGCTGTGTGTTGTATCCTAACTTAATCAGAACATTTAAATTTACAATTTCATGAAATCTTCTCTATAGCGCATCATCATTGACAACCCGATTCTTATCAGTCAGGAAATTTACGTTGACTTGTAAAAATCACCAAAATCCATGTGTAACGAAATGATGTTTTTTCTTTTTTGAGTGTTTTCTTTTACGAATGAAAGGTCTTTATCTGCATAAACAACTTCAGTTTCTTAGCCAATATTTGACAACTAGAACTAAATGTGACTAAATATATGCAGGTACCTGTCCTACGCGTCTTCGGAATCGATGTAGAGAATAAAGGTCGGAAGGTCTGTGTGCACATACATCGGGTCTACCCATATTTGTGCATAGCCATGGGATCCGATGTGCCCGACGATCGGCGCAAGAACACCTTTGTGGAGGCTTTGGAGAAAGCTCTTAATGAACATGCGAAAGTGGCCAGGCACCGTGTTGTCGAAGCTACCTTCTTTAAGGGACGAAAATTTTATGGGTAGGCAAAGCATAGTTAAGCTACTTATCTCAGGTAGACGGTAAAAATGACTGTGGGATGTTCACTATGGGCGCACAAAATCAATACAAATACACTATGTTTGCGACAAGTAGCCTTTTATTGTTATTTTCAAATGCAAAACTGTTCAAGCCGCATTGATTATCTATAACATGTAAGTACACAATATGCCCATCGAAAACTCTTCAATGAAAAACAATTATTTTGAAGCTTCAACGTTCTTCAGATAAATTTACATTTCGTATTTGATTCACATTGTATAAGTGCCAATAGTCCATGTCTATTCGTGGATGCAAAAATGATTAGTGAAGAGCCTCTTTTCCCTCGACTGGTTGACAATGCTGAATAACCTATAATTGATCTAATTGAGTCATCCTCTTCGTATTACAGCTACCACGCTGATGAAGAAGTTTTCCTTCAGATAGCGTTCAGTGATCCCCGTACTATCAAACGTGCATCAGAGGTTATTACTTCTGGACAAGTAGGAAGTCCCATGCCTGTTTTCGAGGCTCACATTCCCTTTAATCTACAATTTATGATAGACAATCAAATACAGGGTATGAATCTTTTGCATATCGGTAAATGCCAATTTCGAATTAATAGTGAAAAACCAACAGGAAGTGCAAGTTCTACACTTACAAAGCAAACGTGCTGCCAAGTGGAAGTTGATTGCGTCATCGAGGACATCTTGAATCAGGTGGAGGAGGTGGAAATGAACCCGGGTTTACAGGCAATTTGGCAGGATCCGCGACTCAGCGAAGTCGCACAGTTGGATACAACAATAATACAACGCGTTATAGTCCCAAGCGAGAGGGAACTTTCGTATAGAAAACTGTTGTGGAAATTTCTCGGTATACCGATTGAAGAACAAGAAAATCTTGCTGAGGGCATAAAAAATGAATCATTTGATGCACCCGATAAGGCCGAACATGAGATTGATGCAAAGAAAGGCTTATCTCAAGAAAGCCAGGTGAAGTTTCAGGATACTCTCCTTGATGCTGCGGCAGATTTGCTTAATGGAGAAGCTGATTCAGTACTTTTTCAGGGACCAAGCGCTGATGATGATGAATCGTACGAGCGAGAATCAGCTGAAATGTCTCAGATTATTTCGGAGGATATACTGCAAGATACTAACAGCTTAGAAGATTCATCAGTATCAGAAAAAACACCTGTCTCTACATTATTTTCGGATACTGAAAGCACACATACAGAAAATTCTACCCAGTCGTTTCTGGCGGAGCTTGCTGCAATGCGTGAGGACACGGAAGGTTCGCCAGTCAGGCACGAACAACAGGTACAGATTCAAAGTGACAGTAGTGTTATCTTCTCTGATGAAGAGACTCTTATCGAGGTGCCCGCGAGTGATGAAGAGAGTGTCAAAGAAGAAGTAAAGACTAAGGAGCCTTCGATATGCGGAAAAGTAAGGCTTCTTGATTTTTTTCTATATCCTTTTCACACAACGTTTGAAGTGAATTTAGCACGAATATTAACGTTTTTATTTTGTTGAGCCCTAAGCCTTTCCATATTGATACTCGTCCCGAAAATATAAACCCTAATTGCGAGATCCGATAGCTGAGTATGCCTTCAGGTTGAGACCTTTTTTTAGATCGAATTATTGTACTAACTGTCTTCTATGTATGAAGGAAATTTGAGTGTCTTTACTATGATGATCGACATTAAAGCACACCGTAAGTACGTGGTTTTTGCAAGAACTTTAAAAGATAGTACAGCACTACGAGTTCACTTGTGCTATCTCATCATTGAATTTTTTGCTTAAGTAGTTTATTTAGCGATTGAAGAAAAATATGCAAGGTGTCTCTTTTAAACAATTAACAGAATGTATCGATAGCAGCGCAAAAATCTGTAATATATAGCAAGGATGGCTAACAATGTTGGTGTAAAAGGCGTTGGATATCCAAAGAAACTCCATGTAAATTGAATTTTTTTTTCGCAAATTAATGTATTTCAGATTGAGCAACCATCGACTTCGGGAATTAGCCACTTGACGACCTCGACTGCTCCTCCCAGTGCTTCCCTCAGACAATCGGAAACAGCATTGGTAAAGCTCATAGATAACGACGTCTCCTCTGATGAAGAAGCTATGGTTGGCAATATTACTATAGCCACAATTAATGAGGACCAAGAGACTCCCACAAGGTCACCTAAAAGGTGGGACGTTCTAAAAGACTTGCCGCAGAAAAAACGTTCTGCAGCCGTTGAGGAGATCCTGCAGTGGTTACGACGTAAGAAAAGTCGAACTTTCGGGAATACTGAAGGAACAAAGCCAGATCAAACTATTAGTCAGCATTCATCAAACGACACGCTCACGCAAGACCTTCGGTTTGCGTATAGTTTTGGGGGGACTCCAGAAACGACTGAGAGATACTACGAGATGATTACATCGTTAGTGTGTGAGGTTCATTGTGCGACAAGGGGTAACCTAAAACCGGATCCTGCGTTCGATCGGATACTGGCAGTAATTTTCGCACTACACAAAGACTTCCCGGGAGAAAGTGACGTTATACAAATAAAAATTATCTATGACGGGTGCGTTAGTGACACAGCATTACGAAGATCGTTACTTGCAGAGATTGGCATAGTTAACAGTGTAGAGTTGTTTAGGTGTTCCAGTGAAATTAACCTGATTATGAAGCTTACGGAACAACTGGCTAAATGGGATCCAGATATTATTCTTGGGTACGAAACTGATACTCTATCGTGGGGTTTCCTTATTGAACGGTGTCTAGCTCTACAGATGAATCCGAAATTACTTCTGTCTAGGGTAGCCGTTGAAGTATCAACTGAGGAGTCTGCCTGTCAGCCACAAGCACAACCGCCAGAGTTAACAGCTGGCGTAAGGTTCGATTCAGATAAGGAACGCTACTTTGAGTCTTGGGAGTATCGACTCACTGGCCGAGTCTTGTTAAATGTGTGGCGAATTTTACGAAAAGAACTGTCACTAACAAGTTATAGTTTTGAAAATGTGTACTTCCATATACTACATCGGAGAGAATCTAGAATTGCTTGGAGAACGCTTCGAGAATGGTACGAAGACGAATTACTTGCTAGTCGCAGTCTTGCGTATTATGTAAAAAGATGCGTCGGATGCCTGGAAATGTTATCCAAGCTTGAGATTTACACAAAGACCTGTGAAATGGCTCGAATTTATGGCATCCAGTTTTATGAAGTACTAAGTCGGGGCTCACAATTTCGAGTAGAGTCCATGATGCTCCGGTCAACGAGACGGGATGGCTTCATTGCTTTGTCACCTACAGTACTTGACAGAAACCTGCAGCGATCGATGGAGTGGATTCCATTGGTTATGGAGCCGCATTCAAATTTCTACACAGACCCAGTGGTAGTGCTAGACTTTCAGTCACTTTATCCATCTGTGATGATCGCTTACAATTACTGTTTCTCTACATGTCTTGGAAAAGTTCAGGATATAGTGAAGGGAACCCAGTCAATCAAGTTTGGTTGTTCAGATCTTTTAGTTGATAAGAACAAGCTATTACAGCTTAAAGATGATCTTATTATTTCACCCTCAGGGTCTATTTTTGCAAAACATCACATCAGAAAAGGCATCTTACCTCAATTGGTCGAGGAAATTCTTAATACCCGTATTATGGTTAAGAAGGGTATGAAGAAATGTAAAAGCAAGTCGTTTCATCGCATACTTGACGCGCGTCAACTCGGACTAAAGTCGATTGCCAATGTCACGTATGGTTATACTGCGGCTGGCTATTCAGGCCGGATGCCGTTGGTTGAATTGGCTGATTCTATTGTAAGCAAAGGTAAAGAGTCTCTTGAGACCGCTATCAAAATTGTCAATACAACGCCGGAATGGGGCGCCGATGTCCTTTACGGTGATACAGATAGTATGTTTATCTTGTTAAGGGGTCGTGACAAAGCTGAAGCCTTTAGAATCGGCAGGGATATCGCAGATCGCGTTTCAGCTATGTTCCCGGATCCGATGAAGCTCAAGTTTGAAAAAGTCTATTTGCCTTGTATATTGGAGACTAAGAAGCGTTATTTTGGATACATGTTTGAAAGCGAAGATCAGAACGAGCCAGTGCTTGACGCCAAGGGGATTGAGCTCGTTCGCCGTGACGGCTGCAAGGCTCAACAAGTAATTTTGGACAAAGCCATTAAAACGCTGTTCGATACAAAAAACTTCGATGCGGTTAAGAAGACAGTACAGAAAAGCTTTGAGCTAATGCTAAAGGGACATTTTGGGCTTCATCGATACATTTTTGCAAAAGAATACAATGGCGCTAAGTACTACCAGAAAAACAGCTGTGTACCCGTTCTAAAGGTGGCGCGTCTGCTAAAGATGGATGACCCACGTGCCGAACCTTTAGTTGGCGAACGAGTTCCGTACATCGTGACGCAAGGTTGGGATAAATCGCGGATAATAGATCTGGTATCGCATCCGGATCGTCTGATCCAAGATTGTCGATTGAGACCAAATATAACGTACTATATTCTGCGAGTAGTATGCCCTGCACTGGATCGTGCCCTGCTCAAAGTCCGAACAGCGGAATGGTATCACCAACTACCTAAAAATCTCCGAGTGCCGTCAAGTAAGGAAGGCGTAAAAAAAACTATGGTTCATGAATACTTTGACGTAAACCGCTGTATTATATGCGATCGTTCAGAACCGTGTGTGAATCGGATCTGCGAGGGCTGCCAGTCAGATAGTCAGAGGGCTGTGTATGTGAGCCAGAGCAAAATGCGTGACCTAGAAGATGATTTTAATCGAATACTAGCCATTTGCCAAGGGTGCACGGGACGGCAGGACGTAGAGAATTGCATCTCGCTTGACTGTCCAATTTTCTTCCGAAGAATCAATCTTCGTCATCGCCTTGAAGCTGTTGAACAGCTCAAACTAGTACAGTACATGTTTTAAAGTTGAACATTCGGATCTCGGGTTTTTTTATGCGCTGCAATACACACTATATTGTTAATACTGAATCGTAATAACTGGGTGTCTGCACGATCTTTTAGATATAGATTTTGCTAAACTGAACTGTACTTCAAGTTGTTGAGTGGTCAACTAGATTAAAAACTGCGTGAATGTTTTACGTTTCTACTTACTGCTCCAGATGCTTGGAAATTACCTTTGTTCTTCTGAATGAAACGCGTAAACCTTTATCTTGGCCTACCTCAGTTATGGGCCGCGTAATGTATAGTCGGTCACGAGTAGACAACTGTCACTGTTTCTTCGGTTTTGGGAATCCTTTTATTACGTTTATTCTTTTGGGATCTCTTCTTTCTGATAGGCAAAAACCTCGTTAGCTTCAACAAATTGAACAGTTTATCAGATTGGCTATACTTTTCCTCGACTGCAAAGTTCGGCAATTTCGCAACAAATTACCTCGGGTCGCTAAAACTTGGTACTTATATCTTCAATAACTTTTTTTTATTGCCTTTTTGCCTCAATGATATTTTTGTAAATAGCATATCAAATACCCTAGTAAGTCGAATATGTAAATAGGCTAGGTTCGTGTATAAAGATAACGTCTGTGTAGAGAATAAATCATTTTTGTATTGACTCTGTTTGTTTTAATGTATTGCAGAATATAACGTTTATGGCACCAATTAATGTTTTGCAAAATATTTGCATTGCATGCGCTTCCTACATATTGAAATGCAGCGACAGTTTTCGTGTTTAATTTGTTACTTTTACCGAATCTTATCGTCTATAAATATAGCATTCATTTGGTGGCTTTGAAATAATGCTTTTGATAACTACTAGAGTTAAACAATGCTGTCAACCGAAATGTTTCTATTGCAAGGATAGTGATAAAATTGTTGAGCGCTGTTCAATTTATTTTATTAGTAAAAAGAGCAAAAAACAAGACAAAGGATGAACCACGTGGTCTACCTGCTTAGTGTAAAATGAAATGCCGCACAATATTCCGGGTAGATTTTTTAAATGTCATTCATTTTATGCACGCGGCAATCATACTACTGCGGCGTATGCGTATTTTTTTTTATCTTTCCTGTAGGAATTATATGAAGAATTAGAAAAGTATAGAAAACTGATATTATCTTAATCAATTGAGTATCTGCTAACTGGTACACCTCTAAACGGATATAGATCACCTCTAGACCTTCTTCATCAAAGCATAGCTACAACTACTCTGCTGTATATATGACAAGGTTTTATGTTTAGGTTATGGCATTTCACGAAACGCTGCACGCACTATAGATGGGCTCTATCCACTAAAATGGTTCTTTGCAAAATGGCTTGTTCTATTAGTTTACGGCATCCTTCCGAATATCTCATGTGTGATTTTTTCTAACATTTGGCTCCCCATTATACATTTTTATGAATGAGGTATTGCAAAACCTTTTCAGCAGTATCAACTTCTTTTGTCGTCGTAAATGATACCATAGAAGCAGGATATTTTTTATCTGCTCTATGTCAACCTGGCACAGTCAACAGCAGATGGTTTTATTGAAAAATTTCTTTTCAATAATACTGTCGACTAGTCTCTGTTACCTTCATACCTTTTTTGAGCGATAGAACGTATTTTATTTTTTTAAGGGCAATGTGGCTGTGGATTATGTATCCCTCGCTATACCTTTCGGTTGTTGTGATCTTACAAATACAGTGTCTGACGGAAGTTGTCTATATGATTCATTTATTAAAACTAGACAGGCAGCAAATATACTAAATATGCTCTCCACACGTAATAAGCTTCCTTGTTTATTAGGCCAGTAGATGAAATCAATTTTACTATAACGTACGCTGTTAAAATAACTGAAAGCGCATTCCAGGTTTATCGCTTACAATTGAATAAAGTTAATTTACTAACACAATAATTACGTCAATTACGGTGCGCTCAACAGTAAGTAGAGGCGTTATATATAATATTATATGATATATATAATATATTATATATACAATATTGTAGTGTATAGTGCGTTACGTATTATATGGTCTCACTCAATATTCGATGCGGTAAACCGAGCGTGATTGATAATAGGCGTAAAGTGCGGCAGAAATCATCATTTTTTTTATTAAGTGTACCTTAAAATTAGCAAATTAAACAACTTAAATACTTGTCACTGAGTTCCGGCTGCGTATAAAGAAGCAACCAAACGTGCGATTTTGTGGAGAAATATAGCTGTCACCACTGATCAAGCTAATTCAGAAAAATACCGGAAAGACAGCTTCCAGCCTAGGACTGTCTAGGTGTCTTATCGTTTTGCGAAGGTACTAATAGCCTGAAAGGCACACGTGCGTTTAGGTCGAACTCAGGGCGTGTCACCTAGATGCTAATGAAGAGCTCAGAACTGGACGATCAGAAACGTTGAACGTAACACTGACGTTGCTGGTCAAAGCGTGTTAGAATTGAATGAATTGCACTCGTTTCATTTTGCCTTATTGTCATTGATCTTGAATAATTGTAATAATATTATAATAATAATAGTCGTATGTCACAACACACAATCTCTCGACTAACTTCTATTAATAAAATTATTTAGGGTGCCAAATATCGTCCTTCCTTTATTTATTCTGAATTCAGTAAATAATTAAGTGTCTAGATTTCCTTTAATTTTCGAGCTTCACATAAGGAGAGATTTGCTTCGAGTGGCATGGGACGTGCGTTTCTAAAGCGAGGAATGTCGTGATTAACGGGTATACTGTAAGAGTGTTACGCAAAGAAGGGATCAGTAAAATTCATAAACCTTCCTTACAACCAAAGACTACAACGATGCCAAAAAAATGTCAAGTGAGCATAGTTTGATATACTGCACCACTGAGTAAATCCAATTACAAACGTAAAGCTTACTTTTCTCAATACGTTAAATGGCGTCATGATTGGCACCGTGGCCTTAATATATGTGATTATGCATTTCCTGTTTATCTAGAAAACCCTTCGATGCGTACTCATCATTACAGCTTTGAGCAAACTGTTGAGACTTCTTATAAATTTTTTATCATTTGTTATGGTGACATAACTACACTTCCATAATTAAGTGCGCACAACTTGGATTTCGACAACGATCCGCGGTTAGCCAAGTATGATTTATCAACGCCATGATAGTAAATGGCACTTGACAGGAGTACTGCCGCTATTTAACTATCGTATACATGTCTGTCGTATACAATATGCTGTACTATACATATTGTGTATTAGCTATTGTACTAGTGTTCATAGTTGTCAACGTTTGATCTCGTCTGTCTAGTCGGTTTTTGGTGGGTATAACGACTGCCACTGCAGCCGTACGGTGCTCTTTGTGTACTGTGGTCCCCTTTGTATGCGAATTTTCAATTACCATTGTTTTGCTACAAGTTTTTATTATCAAAATATTAGTTCGTGAAAATTGTTTAGTTCAGAGTTTACTTGCTGAGGAATTGATTTTTGTCTCGATGATTACCTCATGTATTTTTACTCGGGTCGTGAAAACGAGAGTTTCAAGTATCGCAAAACCTTCAGCAATACTATTTCACAAAATTGTATACGCTTTAGGCAAAACAATTGAAAGTGCTATTTTAATTAGAAAATGTCTTTTTCTTTAACTAACATTGGGTATTTATTGCAAGCTTGTTAAGACCAAGCACTTTATTCGCGTAAACATTTAGTACACATCGTGTCAAGCTCTAATCAAATCTGGTTGCTCTGGGTATCTCGTAGACAACATACGTTAGCTAAGGCTTTATACCTTCCGTCTTTATTTTCTTCTACAGAAGACCAATTTTCTGCTTTAGGATTGAGGGTACTTATGTTCTTTGCTTTGCTCCCTTTGGTGATTCTTATCTGCGATTAATGACGCTGCGTCAAAGCCAATAAAAAAAAGTAAAACCAAAAATTATACTAATAAGTATTCCTCTCTCACGAAATCAAACAAATTGGGTTTAATCTTTTGGAATGCGTCCTACATATGTTAGCGAGAAACGATATCCACTTGTCTTTCAAACGTGTATTGAGAAAGCGTGTGTTCCGAGTGTAGATGATTTTCGAATTGGACACATTTTTAATATTACTTGCACGTTGTTTATAAGCATAGGAGGGACCTTGAGCTCGCGCCTGAACGTCAATAAAACCGACTATTTAGTGTATTTTATTTCCTTAGGAAAAGTATTTGTTGCGTAGGAATTCGAATAATGAAATAAAAACATTTCAAGGTTTTTAGAAACATTTACAAAGAGAGAAATTGGCTATTTAGTCTAAATCCTATTCTAACTTTCAAGTCTTATAGATTCGCTTCTGATTTTCAAAGGGTACCGCACAGGGAAGAAAAAATACTGGCCTTATTAGTTCACTTTAATGCAAACGCAGTGCTAATGATATACCTAAGCACCGTAGACGAAAACGCACACGTTCGGCGTAACGGCTATTGTACACCCCGTATCGTTAAAATGGACAAAAACTGGCTTCATTTATACTGATGAGCAGGCTCATCCGATAGTAAATAATGTTCTATGGGTTGCTATTTTGTACTGTGTTATTCAAATTTCAAAGGAAATGCATTAGACGAATCAAATGACGTTGAGCCGACGTCAGGATTCGGTGTTCAAACGCCCGCATTATATGTTACGTTTTAAGTGAGTGAAAATTGATTTAAGCACCTCAATTAAACAACAATTAGCTGTACTCTCGGAACAATATCTACGTGGTAAGAGATCATTCTGTTTTCTATACTTATACAATGACCAATGTTAAATATTTGTATAATTAGTTTTATATTTTAGCTGGTTACACCAAAAATTAACAAAACTGCATATTCTTCAATAGTGCTTATAACTGGACAACCGATATCGGCTACGCAGACCTCTAGTCTTATCGATTTTGCAACAAAACGTGCTGATATATGAAGTTCGATTGGAAGTCGTCACCTGAAAAAGCTAATCGTTGCGTAATTCATAATTGCAAATGACAATTTTCAAGATAACGGAAAGCTGTCGGCAAACGCAATAACAGAGGGAAAAGTTTGACAGAAACATTTCTAGTGTTTGAAGAAAAGACTTCGGATCAAAAATACGTACGCTTCATAGAAGATACGGATAAGGACGTGGAGCAGTAGCTGTTTATAGCAACAAGCGATTTCCCATGAAAAATCACTTTATATATAGATTTCTATAAATGATGTACAGCTTTTCATATTTAGTAATGCGAGACTATTAGGCTAATACATCTGTCTAGCATTGGTCCCAAACTGGGATATTTGCTCAAGTGGAAAATGGAGCGGAAGATCTGTAGATGAGATACATATGAGACTATCAACTTAACTTCTTGTCGGAAAAGTAGTATTAAAAAATACATTGAAAAATTTTATCACAAATATTTTGATGGTTAAAGTGATTCACAAAAATTGTAAATCTATTAAAGTCGTTGCTTGGTTTCCAATGAATGTAAGTCCAATTCAGCATTCGGCGATGAGAAGCAATCCAATGCAATACCCAAAAGTGGTTACTCTTCGAACGTTTGCTGTGTTATATATGCATCTGTTCTGTATCTTCCAGCTAATCACAATAAGATTGTGCATTACCTATTTAGTCTGTGCTAAATAGGCATATAAAAGTGTACGGTATTTACGTTTCCCATGCTGATTCTGTGAGAATAAGCAAGTTTGCAAGCGCCGCTGAACTTCTGTATCTAATAGAATGACAATAAATCCAGTTGAAGTATTGATACCAATGAAATGTACGTTTAAAATGTTATTCCATGAATAAATTTGCAGTTTACAAGAAAAAACGAATGTTAAAATGAAAACAAAGGTGGAAGAAATGCTTCGCTAGGTCTAAATTCACTTTTGTACGCGCTCGTTTGTATAAGAACGTTAGGTGGAGCTCATCTGCTGCTGACACAGGTAATTTCTAGATCGGAAACGGTACATCGCACTTGTTAATTTTGATGTAATTCTTGTGTAATTTTTATGTCATTGTGAAATTTTTTCTTAGGATAGGCTCGCTGCTTGTCCACAGTGTGGTCTAGCGACATCTAACGTCAACTACAAAAGGTTTACCTCTGCGCTCAAACACGTTTTTAGCCCAGTTGGTGGTAATTGAACCAGCCTTACGCCATAGACAAAGTGTGAGCGAATTTTTCGTGCCCGATCAACTCAGCCGGGGTCGCAACGCTAAAGCTTAAAAAATTCGTATCAGTACGTCGCGCGTGTGTTTGAGTGAACCGCACACACAATATCCGCAGTATGCTCCTAGCCACACAGCCCCAACCCCCATGAACTGTGCGAAGAAACCACAAGCAAGCTTACAAGGGATGAGAGCCAGCTTCATTGCACCTTTATGTCCCACTTGTATTTATCACACTATAGAATAGTGTCATTTTCTATGTATCTTCCCAGGTTACCTCAATACGGTTAAGTGACGTTAGAAATAATACCACTGATAAAATACTGACGTCAATTACCCTAGGTATTCAGCCATTCTACCTCTTAACCGAGCCATGTACATTGAGTGAACACGTAGCGTTCACGTGTGCTTGGAGCATTTCGCCTTCTCGTTTTCAAGGTACACAGCACGTTCATAGGCGGGTCGATCCGCGACTAAAGAGCTTTTATTCAAACTATTTGTCGCTTCGCAACGTTGTAGCGTATTTGGGATAGGCTTGCCTTAAGGACGCTTTTGTAAAATCGCGTACATTGACCCCCTTCTAGAGCACGTGATTAATGCCAATTTCCATTGAGGAAATCTACGTAAAAAACTCAATCAGCTCGTTGAACTAGTCGGAGATACGTATTCCAAAGAATATACATCGCCTTAACGTTCCTACCTCTGTCCGACCCTGTTCGTGAAGTAACCGGCTGTCATTAGCAGCACCATTAAGTATGAATGGTGATCAAACTAAAAAAACTCATAACTGATCAAATAGATTTCTGTATCATTCACGAATTTCGGTAATGTTAACCCCGCTAAGATTATTTATAATTATGTAGCCATAAAAGGTAAGCGAAAATGGTCGAAGTTCTGTCAAGGATCATCTAGTAGTCGTACGTCTATTTTAGCTACTAGCCGCGGCAAAGTGAGATAACATACAGCCATCCATGACAACAATACGAGTATAACGCTACTGCTCGTCGGGGATGAGGGAAACAGTGGCGGCGATGATCACCTTCAGCATAAGAAAGCGTAAGCGTGCCTTTTATTGTTATTAGATAGCTTTTTGTTATTCGTTGTATCGGGCGGCCTTGTCAAGCTCACACAGAAATATCCGCTTGGATTTTGCTCAAACGTATAATAAACAAGCGAAAAAGATAGAACGCGTATCCGCATAGGAAGGAACCATCGTCAAACAAACCGTAGCAACGAAACTGCATCTCTACCGACAAACCGACTGCCACAATCACCAGCCGTGCCAGCTGACCGGCCAACCGACCGACCGACCGACCCGTGATGGATGATGCTGACGACGACGCCAGTGATGGTTAATAGTCGTCGTAAAGGGGTTCGAAAATGACGTTGTTGTAAAGGTGATCGCGGCGGTAACTAGTCTGTCGATTCGCGCGGCTGCTGTGACAGTAGCAAATTGTGACTGACCGCCCGCCCGCCCCTTAGACCATCAACTCGTACCGGACGCGTACCGTTCAACACATATTCGTGTTATTCCGAAAATTTTTGAAACACATAATGCTGAATAATCCACATAATATTATTGGAGTCAACTGTTTCCTCATGAAAAAATTCACGCATATATGTAATTGCATCCGATTAGTTGTAACGTATATATACACCGTGCTACTTTGCTATACTAAGTAGAAATTTTGTTCGATTTTGCCATTTTGTTTGCGTCAGCTATTACTATTACCATCAATATGTGATTCTTAAAAATGCAAATTGCACACCTGCCGTTCTTGAATGCAAACACAGAAGTACACATAGCAACAGCCCTTTGTTTCTCCTATTTCCTATGGTTTTGCTCACTAGTCGATATTCCGTAGCCTACTATCGATCATTATGATTTGCATGATCAGGGCTTTTCATATAATAGTTCTAAGGCCACACTGTTCTGAATAGGCTCCAATCTGGGCCAACACATGCGCTCGACCTAGTACGCCTTTTCCTTTTTGTCTGAAAAAAAAAACAAATAATTCGTCATTATCGCTTTTTGTGGCAATGCTCAATCTGAAATTCGTATTTCCAAACTGGAAGTGATTATAACGATGTTAATAACGATATTAATAAGAATAATTATTCCTGTCATTATAAACATGTAACTAGAAGTAGAAGGTAAACAGTTATTAGGTTCATTTAATATATAACAGTATTTTGATGAGCAGACATATATCGGTCGTCCCTGTTACCGGTGAGACTTTGATTCAGTTTACCAATTTTGCCGATTTGGTTAATGATAATCTTGTCATTTGAACTGACCAGTGAAAGAGGCAAGAAGTACACGATTTGCGCACGGTGCCTTAACGTTCGATATAACAAAATTTATAGCGGATCCATCTTCAGGATAAGATCTCGTGCGTAAGGTACATTAAGAAAATTCACCTAAACATATCCGATAATTTATATCCGAGAATCTCTGGTAGTGTCTATAAAAATAAATATGTTCATTGCTTGAAATGAAAAAACATGGGGATTCGTTGAATTTTTCAAGTGTTTATGATCGCCAAGGAAAACGCTACCGTATCGCCTTGCTGAGCACGCCATATTAAGCAGTGATGTCTCATGAACTGTATTATATGACAATTAACTGATGAACTAAGCTAAACTGAGAAATGTCTGAGTGAAAGGTTTTCAAAATATGTACGAGCGCTGATACAGCGCGTATTTATTACTCTAGGAAAAAAAAACTTCTCAAATTTTTCACCAATTTTAGTACTAGAAGAAAAAATAAATTTGAGTCCTGCCATGCGTGACAAGTAAAAATATTCTCGTCATCAAAATAAGCCATCAGTGTCTTGATAGTCTCAGAATAATCAAAATAATTCAGCAGGCCTTTCATTATGTCGTCGGTGCACTTATATATCGCACGTTTTTTATAGAACGGTTGGATTTATGATACATCCGTTAGCATATATTCGGACACGGTTACGCTTTCAAGTAACTTCATCGACGTTTTATTCTGCACAAACCTTTCGTTCAAGTTTTTCACCGAATTAAGTAAGCTATAATTATTAATGAGGTTCGATAGGTCGTTTTAGAATCATCGTATATTACCAAAATGCGTAATGCAATCTAATGTTTTCGCATTCGGCTCCCAGCCTCCAACATAAGTCGTACATAAGGCTCAGGAATTCAAACGTGTCACTAAGTTCCATTCTATATTTGTTGATTCAGTTACCTAACCTGAACCAGCCTAAATAGGCATATTCTGACTGATGACTTTGGAAATAAAAATATAATGGAAATTCGCGACAGTATTACGAAATAACACGTTTTACTTCAATTCTACCAAAATTGACTTCAGTCCCACTTTTAGCCATCTCCATAACATCTCATTATACTATTGTGCACTTCAATGACAGACTACAAGCGTTATAAAGAAAAAATACAGCAACGCTAAAAATGAGACTTTTTTTTTTTACCAGAGCTATATAAATAACTTTCTTTATTCACACAAGTTGTCCAGTCTGTCTCGTTAACGAAATTTTACAGTCGGTCGACACCAAACTTTATATAACTAATTGAAGTACGTGTCTCCCGAAAGTAGAAGTCGATCCAAGCCTCGTTGTTTCAACTCTGTTGACATACAATGCAAATACTAATGATTCTACCTCACTTTTGGTAAATTTAATGGCTTTTGCTAGAGCGGACAACAATTTTTACATCTGCACCTCCTCATCGCTTTCAGGGCTCCGAAGTCTTTTTTACGCCATTGGCTTAACCTTTACCTGTTATTCTAACTTGAGCCTCATTTTTTTCAGCGATCTAGATTTCTGCGAGCTCGTGTTATTCGAAAAATCGATTGCAAATTTCGTCTGCACGCACCTAATCGAGCTGGGGGTACAGTTAGTGTGGCCAGCTGATCAGCTGTAAATGCCCGATATTCAACGATATTATTATCATCATCAACGTCACCATTTAGTATGATCACAGAATCGGCAAATGCTCGTGCTTCTAGTTTATAACAGCGCATATACTTCTGCTAACAAAGTACAGAGACCTTTTGAAGCCATAGCTGGTCACTGACTGGTAAATGAATCAAGGATATAATACATAACAGATCGCGTTCGTTCTGCCGTGTTTTTATTTGTGCATGATTCTGGGTTATGTTTGAACGCGATCTAGTACCTTGATCATTGATGCTTGCAGGATTTCTCGTCTCGAGTGCTCGTTATTCGGCTATTGTTTTTCGGTGATTGTTAGGCCACTGCGCTTTGAATTAAGGCATACCAATGGCCGAAGTTGAGTTACGGGTACCTGAAAAGATGGCCTCGGAAGAGGTCAAGATGGATCTAGACGAAGAGCCTCAGGTGATCAAAGAGATACTGAGCGACTATACGAAAGCAAGGCTTGCAGAAAACCGTAAATTAGCCGCGAACGATCTTTACAAAAAGAAAAAATATATCCAAGCCTTGTTACTATACTCTGAAGCTATAAAACTCTGTCCGAATAACGCTACTCTGTACAATAATAGGGCCGCATGCCATCTAATGCTCAATCA